AAATTTTCGACCGGTTACAACTCTGCATCGTGTAATTCTTGTTGTATTTCTGTAATCTAAAAGAAAAAGAAAAATATATGATACATTGCAGTATTACGAGAAAACTTACTTCTTGTTCAATATGGATAAGTTGCTGATCCATGTTAACTAATATTATTGAACGATGTCGACGTGATAAATAGAAGAAAATCGATGTATCTAAATTGATATATATACGTCTGACAATTACTGAATAGTCCGCGTCAACCATTAGATCGACACGGACTATTCGATAGAAGAAAAAATTGTATAAAACATGTTTTATATACATACTTGTTCAAATTAATTCTTTCTAGATAAAATGACGATATCCAATCATGAAAGGTCTAGATATTTTAATCGGCAATTCAATAAATAAAAATTATGGGTTACATGAATTGCGGCCCACGAATTTTTCGTCCCAGACTTTCGGCCCAGGCCGAAATTCCGGTGATTTTTCGGCCCGGGCCGAAGGTTCGAAAGGAAATTCGGACCAAAAGTTAATTTATCTAATTAATTTTCTAAATAATTAGTAAACTTCATGGTGCTGAGCACTATGCACATTCAACAAAACGTTGTGCTCGACAGTATGACGTGTTGCTCAGCAAGATAACATAGTGCTTAGCAGTTAGACATGATGTCCGTCGAGATGACATAATGCTTAGTAGCGTGGTGTGGTGCTCAGCAGTACAAAATAGTGCTTAGCTAGGCAGTCTAGTACCTAGAACTATGCATATTGATAAAAAATTTGGCAATTCGGATATTGGTCGAAACATAGGTTAAGTATTCTATTGTGGAAGCCGCCACAATATTCAAGAAATGGATATAGAACTCAGCAATACGAATTTAGATGACATGATAATTATAACGTTCTGCTGTATCTGTGTATTACTTCGCCTATTTTACTTAGGAGTTACGGCAGTTCTTTGATATTGAATGAAATATGTGTTTAGATAGTGATTACATTTAGTCAGCCTCGATCGAATAGATGCTTTCTTTCTTTTGTGGCATTGGTCAGAGATGGAAACGGTCCGAATTTTTGACGACCGATATCGGCCGGTCTTGTTTCTTTGTCATTTCCACTATTTATATCTTCTCTTTTCTCAGTTGCTGACTGTTATTCTTAGCAAGTTATGTGTGCTACTTATACTTTTCCTTGTTGTAAAAAAGAATCAAAAATCGTCGTCTCCTGATCTTCGATTTGAATATCATTATTAAAATCGATATATACTGGTATTATTTTGACAAACATTTTTCGTGTTCTTTATGTTTGCTTGTATAATTGTAAAAATTTATGTTACTCTTAATGTTTTGTTTTTTTACTGAAAGAAACTAAAGAAAATTGAAATAAACTAGTCAACTGAAACGGAACTGAACGTTCGAAAAAATCTAAAACTGGCGGTATCGGTAAAGAAACACCGGTCGAATAGAATTAGATTGGTAGGGTATCGTTTTCTACTGTTACCGAGCACCATGTTCTTTTAGGCTGGCGTTTATTCAAGACAAGTAATAATTATCGCAAACGGCGGCCTCATTCCTAACAGAGTGAAATGAAAACTGCTAAACATTATTTTGTACCGCTAAGCATTATATCGTCTTTCTGAGTCCCATGTCGTACTGCCAAGCACCATGTCTAACTGCTGAGCATTATGTCATCTTGCTGAGCAACATGTCATACTGCCGAGCACAACATTTTGTTGAATGTGCATAGTGCTCAGCACCATGAAGTTTACTAATTATTTAGAAAATTAATTAGATAAATTAACTTTTGGTCCGAATTTCCTTTCGGACTTTCGGCCCGGGCCGAAAAATCACCGGAATTTCGGCCTGGGCCGAAAGTCTGGGACAAAAAATTCATGGGCCGAAATTCCAGCTACCCAAAATTATATTGTATAAAAAAATTCAAGCAGTTATTTTAATTCTTGTATTACCTAATTTTCTTTCTTCTTCAACAATAAATATTTGATGATGACGATTGTATTCATTGATCTTCTCGAAATCAATATAATTGTAATGTTTTGCATGGTTCTTGTAATGAACAATGTTTACCTTTATTTTCATCTTCATGTTCATTTGATTTTGATATTTATTTATGCTTTGATAATTCATTAACATTAAATATTGTTAATTGTTGTATAAATTGTATTTCTTCATCTACTATATAATCATATTTAATTTGTTTACGTTTTGCTTTTTTATCTAATCAACCAAAATAAGATAAATCTAAATGAAAAACTTCATCTTTCTATTTTTGTTTTTTTTTTTTTTTTGTTCAAAATTTTGTCGTAGTTATTCATTTACAGATCTTTTTCATATTCAAGTGCGAAATTTAATATTTTCTTTACCTATTTTTTTTTAATTTAATACATTTAAATAAATATTCTTCATCAACAAGTTCTTCAAGTTCATCAATTCTTTTTTATGTTGTTAAATGAACATGACAAAATTTTTTTATGTAATTATTCGATTGATAATTTTGAACGATCAGAATTTCATGAAATAGATTCAGATCTAAATCTTTTTTGTTTGATCATCATCACGTTATCGAAGACGTATTTGTAAATGTATGACATTCACAAAAGGTGTAATAGGTTCAAAATTTGAGCAAATTTCGCATTTATGACACATTATATCTAATTGACAAAGGACATTTGTTTTTTTCACCATCTATTGATAATGATTGATTCAGGTGATTATCAAAAAGGAGACTGTGATGATGAAGCCATCTTATAACCTAAAACAAATAAATGATATTAGTTAGTAAGCTAGAAAAATCATTGTTTCTGATACAAATCTTAACGTATGTATGTACAAATAGATACTTCGTTTCCATTGACAAAGTATTTATTAGTACTTTGTTCTCAATCACACAATACCAATTTTCTCTCTGTTCTCTTTTGCAAAGTATTCCACGGGATTTTTCATTTGTTTCTCAAGTCAAAGGTTTGTAGATGGACTTTTATTATGATCGACTTTTTTTATGTTGTAGCTTTGACAAGATGCACTTACTAGCATGGAAATACACATGATTAAATAAATTCGATTTTTCTAATTGTCTGAGAGCTTACAAGGAAATCATCTGAAGTAATATCTGTCGTTTGAACTCATGTTGGATTCATAAGAAGGTATCGGTGAGACTAGAAAAAGCCTAAAAGAGTTCGTATCCATAGATCTTTGGCACCGAGTTATCACCGTTTTATTGAATTTTAGACTCACATTGAGGTATTTACCGAAAAAACCAAAAAAAAAAAAATAGAATAAAATTTCGATATAAAATTTTGTCTATAGATAGGTCTAATCATTCTTAGAATATCCTGAAAGTTTCAACCGAAAGTAATGTTCTTTTGTCAAAATATTAAATGTTCAAGTAAACTCGATTTTTGTTATAGTCTGTAAGAAGCGACTATTTTTTTGGAAACTCAATATCTTGACAAAGGAACATTATTTTCGATTAGAACTTTTAGAATATTGTAAGGATAATTAGACTTAGCGATGGACAAAATTTTAGATCGAAATTTTGTTTTTTCGATGAATATCTAAAAATGGGTTGAAAATTTAGTAAAACGATCATAACTTAGCGCCTGAGGCCCATGGGTACGAACTCTTTTAAACTTCTACTAGTCTCATCGATATCTTCTTGTGAATCTCATATAAGCTCAAACGGCGGGTATCATATCAGGTGGTTTCTTCGTTAGTACCTAGTACATTGTTCTAGTGAATTAGTAATGCTAAATTTATCTTATAAGTGACTTGAAAAGAACAATTATAGATTTTCAAATGTACTTTATCTTACTAAATATTTTACAGTTATATAAACAATAAATTTCTATCTAACTGTACGTAGTCTTTTACAAGATGGATATATTCTTCTGATGGTATAGTTTATTTCAACAGACTTCTACTGTAATGGTTTACGACGAAATATTCCTTTTTATTTTGGATATTTATACGAGATCAATGAATATTAAATGCAGTTAATTCGAATTTTATTGTCCTTTTTTTTTAAACATGTGCTCATCAATTATTTGTGATTTCAACTTTCTTTAATATAAGCGAACATTTAAAATCACTTAAAACTAAAATCGATATAAAAATTTTATATGACTAATTTATTTTTTAATTCAAAGTTATTTAACACAAAGCAAAATTTTGTAGCACGAAGTTGATTGTACAGAATTCCTTATCTATTGACATTTTTACATAGTAGAAGAAAGACTGTAACAAATCATTGTTGTAACTAGAGAAATAAGTCAAATGGCTGAACCACTGGAACCGATCAAATCATTGACTTACACCTTCAGTTATCACAAAATGTTGTCTCACCTAGATAAGTAAAGTTCAGGTTCAGCCTTGACTCCAGTCATTAACAGTTAATTATTAAACGAAGTAGAAATAAGCCAAAAGAAAAGATTTCAGACTTAACTATAGAAACAGTCGAATCAATGATTCAAAAATTCGAGGTCTGCAAGCATTCTAAAAAAGGGAACAATATTCAGAAATATTCGAATCTCAACTTTAGAATACTTTAATGTACCATTTTGGAAATTATCCAAATATCCAACACTGTCTGAACTGATTGAATAGTTTCCAAATACTCAGTCGAAATTTAGGGTTAACAAAACGAAACCTCTTTGTGAATAAGTAGCTCGAAACATATTCGTCCGCTGACGTACGATGCATTCGTGGTTTCTTTCGAAATTCTCTTTGAATATTTGTACGAATTTTCGTTTCGTTTACCTCAATCTGAAATTCTAAATCTGGAAAGTTTTAATATAGAATGGTGTTGATTACATCAGTTGATATTTTTCGATTCGTTTTAGTAATTAAATGAATTGAAAGTTTCTCAATTGTTTTTAGTTTAGTCATAAGAAATTTTCGATTTGAGTTTTATTTTAAAACACTTACTTGTCTTGATAATATGCTCATTCGTTTACTTGAATCGAAGCTATTTCGACCATTTGTCTTATGATAAATGAATTGAACTAATAAGTTTTTTTTTTTGTTAAATGTTTATTGGGTTCTGAACTAAATAAAAAAGCTCGACTTAACCGTTTATTTGCTTTATGAAGATCACTAAAATTTCAATATATATATTTTTTTCAATATTAATTAATTCAAAGAAAAACAAAAGAAACAAAAAAACAAACCGTTTAAGTGCTAAATCTAATAAATTCAGACGACTAGTTGAATGTAAACCTGAATCAATTTCTGAATGTTCAAATGATGTTTGAGAACAATACACATGATGATTATTATTTGAATTAGTAACTGTTTGAATAAGTGAAGACTAAAATAAAAATGGTACATTACTTGTTTTTTTTTGTTATTTTAAAAAATAATTTACTTTATCAAGTAAACATCGATCATCTGAAATAGCTTTAGATAAATGATAAAGTACATCGATTTTATGATTTCCATGATGTGTAGTACTATTTGATAATGTTGAAATCGATGATGATGATGAAGATATTAAATCAGTAAAATAAGATTTTGAATTATTAGTACTAGTACTTGTATTTCCATTAATAACACGAAATATAAGTTGACGTATTTGTCCATCAATTGAACAAAGTATTCCGAATTGTTCAGTTTCTTTAATAAGAAAAATTTTATTTAAATAAAAGAAAAAAATAATAAAAACTTGTTAGCAGAATCTCTTCAGGGTTAAAATGTGTTTTTTAGGCTCATTATATTAATATAAAATACGTATAGAATGTTTTTCTTAATCTAACATTATATTTATTATTTTAATCATCGATTTTACTAGCAAATAGGCCTGTTGCACACATCATTCATATCTGCAATGATCAGCTCACATTTTTCAAGGCTGGTGCGACGCAGCCAATATTGGAAGGTTTCGCGTTTTTTTTTTGGGAGAGTGATTCCAGACGTGCGTAATCTGCGATAAAACTTCTTCGAATGCACATAAATAGATCCTATATTTCTGGATGTTATACTCATGATACGTCCCCGGTCGGACCATCGTCCCCTGCACTTTTTACGTTGATCATATGACGTCTGTGACAAATCAACACATCACTACTAGAGATGTGTGCGGGAACAGATTTTTTTGGTAACGGTTTCGGTCTAGAGAATTAATGATTTATAAGATAATCTGCTTAAAAATATAGAATATTTAAAACTATAATCTTTAATTTAGGTCGAAACAATTTTTTCTCGTAGTCTCGATCTCAGTAACTTCTCGATTCCGATGATCGGGACTAAAATTAGTCCTACAGTTGTCCTCGACTGCCACGGAAACCTACCAAATAATCGTCGACCTTCACCCTATTGATATGGGGACGAAGGCGCAAAACTTATGCTCATTGTATTTATTTTCGAAAAAAGATAATGTGCGAGATCTATAAAACAAAAACTAGTCAATCACTTTTACCATCAATTGTTAATGATATTGGATTAATATCAAATAAACTTCTAATATCACTTAATTGAATAAATGCAATATGTTTGTATGTTTTTGATGTTTTCATACCAGGGGTTTTCCACATATTAACACGTAATTTTGTTACCTAATAAGAAAATAAAAATATCAAAATGTACGTTTTTATGTTTTTGATGATAAATACTTCAAGACAATCAGAAAAAAGAAAAGAATTAAATGTGTTTGTGTTGTTGTTAATTCTTGTGAAAGTTTAATAACATCAAAATTTTTCTATATAATCACGATGTGCAGCAAGTAATTCTGGCTAAAATTTAACAAAAAAACGAAAATATTTAATAATAAATTCTTTATTAAAATTGCTTATCTTACTGAACAATTATCAATACTATTAACAATATTAAACATTGATAAATGTTTTTCTGTTTTTCCTCTTTCTTCATTTAATTTTTTTGCTATTTAACGTAATTTATCTAATGAATCAATTAATAATTGATAATCAATATGTGTTATTGATGTATATTTAAGTAAACGTTCTAGTAATAATAATATACTTGGTAAACGTTGAATAGATCGTATCATTAAATCAACTAAATGTTGTTTACCTAATTCAATTTTATGTTCACAAATCTATTCAAATATAATATATTTTATTAGATTATATTATTCCAATATAAAAAAAAAAGAAAATTACTTTAAGATAAGCATAAAAACGAGAATTAGTTTTTTCTAATGTATGAATTGCTTCAATTGTTTTATCATAAAATTTTGTATATGGTTGATAAACACGTAAAAGATCAACAGACTAGACATTGAAACAAAAAAAAAAGATATTTTCTTTTCTAAGACTTTATAGATACTAACATTAGTTAAACATATTGAACCAATACATTTATCTTCATTTATAGCTCGATCAAGTTGTTCAGCAATAGATAAATGTAAATGATAGATTTCTTCAATATTACCAAATATTTGTGTACTTTCAACTTTTGTAAGAATAGGACCATTTCGACGATCATCTTTTTCCATTTCAGTTTTGAAAATCTATTTGAAGAAAAAAAATTGTTTAATATAAAAGTTAAATTCATTAATCAATTTTGAAAATCAAAATTCAACAATATAAATGATAAGTATACTGCGTAGAGATCTCTGTATGATTGTAAGGTACTAGTAAATAAAGTCCTTTTACCTTCATGCTGTTTTTTTCGAATAATTTGACCTGTGGTTCACCTAGAAAGACTTCCTCTATGTCTTATCAAGTTTCATTGGGTACTCTCGGGGACGTCAACAGTCGAATACGACAGAGGTTGCACCACCTATTGACAAATCTTGACGATACACAATAGAACTTAATAATACATACACTATTAGATAAAGGAAGTTTTCCTCTACTAGCCTACATAGATCTCGTTCTCTAACCAAAAACCACTGTGTCACTTATATTTGACATGCTTTACTATCATGTCGAAAAAATCAATTGTCTAAATAATGAAATAATATTTTCCAAAAAGCATGCATAGATGTTTTCTTAACTATATGACGAATAAAACCATAAAAAAAAATATTGAGCTTAATGAGACTTGATACTTTTGGCGTATTTTAGTTTTCGTTGACTTTTTTTTAAACCTAATTTTGCTCTCAGTATGAAATATTGGTCGATTCCAACTCATCAAAGGGAGAAGGGTATCGGTGAAAAGAAAATTCAGGTTCACATATTCATCGTCTCCTCAATTAACTTTTTGAATTTATCATCACTATAGAAATAGGTCTCTAAAAAAATTATATTTATATGTTCTGATGAATACTGTGGGTATTATCTAGACATACTCGTTGACAAATTTTAAAAACCTGGGTTTTACAACTACCTCTTTGTTCTTTTTTTTTTTTCATTGCAAAAGTTTATGAATGATAGGAAATTTCAAATTCGATCAGCATATCGAATTATACTATTAAAAATCTATCCCATAATCATCAGAAAATTGAATACAAGACAAAAGAGAAATACATAGGATACTAGAGATTTTCAAGCTCTTCCAAAAAAACTATCTCTATAGATGAATAAATATAAAAAGTTAATTGTAGAATCAGTAATAAAATTCAGTTCATGTGGATCTGACAATAAGGATGCCTTCATTACAATTGATTTATTTTCCAGTCAGTAGACGCCGGTTAATATACAGTTGGATAGTCGTCCCGAAAGTACGACATACCTTTTCTGGTCTCGTTGTATTCAGTCACTGAGGCGCCTAGTATATTCCACAGACGACTCGATAGGCTCTAGTAACCAGTAATAATGTTGATAAGTAATACCTGATATAGATTTTCAGGTACTAAATGATAGAAAAATGACATTATAAATTTTGTCCTTTTTATCTATTGACTTATGTTTGATTCCTGTTAGAATGTTTTAAAACACTTTTCAACATTTTTACAGCCGACCTGATGATTAGTATTGTATAAAGTCATAAATTTCAAATATTAAGATTCATTCCGCTAGTCATCATTATTCTTTGTTTATATATAAATTTTCTTTTTTATAGTCTAATATCAATCTTACTCGAATAATATTTGATAACATTGTAACATAATTTCGTTCAGTTTCTCTTAATTCCATTTCAATTAAATATTTATTATCTTTTTTAATATTTTGTTGTTTTTCTACAATAATAAATAGAAATTTTCTTTTTTTTGTATTTCGAAAATTATTCATTATAATTTACCTATAACAATATTATCATCTAATAAATTTTCATTCTCATTAACACTACTATTAAAACGTTTTGAATTTGGTGTATTATCAATTTGTTCATTTATAAACAAATGTTTATGTCGACGTTTTCGTTTAACAGTCGTATTTAATGATGAATCATGTAATGGACTATCACCATGTATTGATGGTGAAAGTAATAATAATGAAGAATCTGGTGTTGTTGATTGATTACTAGTTAAATTAACAATATACATTGATTCATCAGCTTTACCCATTAAACATAAACATTCCCAAAACCACTATAAAATTCAAAAATATTCTATATAATTTTAATCTGTTTTTTATTCTTATTAACTAATACATACTTGTACATGGACAATATATTGTCGATGTTTACGTGTATATGATGGATATGTCAATATAAATAAATTTATATCAGAAAGAACAATATGTGTTGCTTCATTCATTTCTTTTGTTATAAATCCACCTAAAAAGAAAGATTTTTATCTAATTTATCTGATGTATAAATAGAAATGTTTTCATTTTACAAGAGAGCCATCCAAAGTGATTTATCATAATTGTATACTCATATTCGGTATATAGAGCAGTGTCCGATATGGATCAAATTTTTGTAACTAGACCAAAATATCGACTAATTTTTTTTTACTTTTTGGAAAATCAATTTCTCAATCTTTTGTTTTTTCTTCGTTTCATTTCGTAGTTGGAACAATATGATTATGTGATAGAATTTTTTTCTTATACATACAACCTGCGACCTTTACATCATTATTGAACGTCGATAATGATACACTCGTTATCCGATGTCAATAAAGAAAAGTTGATGAAATAGAAGAAAAGATTATGCAACACATGACATCTTGTGCTACTGACAAGCGAAGGTCTTCAACTGATTTACGTTGCTTTCAATGATATTTTGTCCACATGTTGAAAATGGATGTGAGTATTTGTCTTCTCTACATCTATACCTCACCCTCACACTCTGAGTGCAAATAGTGGATAATAGTTGAAATAATTTCCTTGTTAGAAAAATAAAAATATAGATTTATTTATTTTTTGTCTAAATTGAATATTCTAACTGTAAGATGTAACATTTTGTATTTTATACAATAACCGCAACGATAAAAAAAAAAGAATTTACCATGTTCATTGGTTAAAGTATGTAAATGTTGTAATTCATTATCATTATTAAAACCAAAAAAGAATAAATTAAGATTATGTAATGGTTTAGCACGATATATTCGAATAAGTTCAGAATCAAATGGATTAAATTGTCGATTATTTCGTTCATGCCAACAATGTAAAAGCCATTCTTCTGTTAGAATTTCACTTCTTTCCATATTAAATGCTGTCTAAATAATAAATAAAATCATCATCATCATCATCATATATATTTTAATAAAAAAAAAAATTTCATTACGAGATATTTTTCACCGATATTTGCATGTGATATAACATGTGTTACTTGATCACTATAATCTTTTCGTACAGATCCACCAAGATAATGAACAAAATCACTTAATTCCGTCTAAAAACAAATTATGTAAGAAAAATAATAATATTTTTTGTTTAACTTACATGTGTATCTCTTCGAATTCCAACAAAACATATGACAGCTGAAGATAAATGTTGACAATATAATGGTCGATTTCTTCTTGGTACAGGAATATCCTAAAGAAATTAAAATTATAATTTTTAGATAGTAAAAGAAATTTTTTTATTTCTTGTTTTTTACAATTTCTTTTTCTGCACATGATAATACAAGTTCAGAACTAATTGTATAAATATCTTCATTGTCTTTTAAATATTGAAATATAGAATCATCAAATGAATCAACAATATAAATACGTAATTGTCGTTGTGATAATAAAATTTTCGTTTCAGTTAATGTACGAATTACTTCTCGTTCATCATGAATACATTCATATACATAACGATCTTCAAGTGAAGATAGAAGTCGTTTATTTGAACAAGCAGAACCAATTATACAAAATGTTATTGCTAGGAATAATCAAAAATAAATTTAATTAAAAAGAAAATATATTTACTCCAATCATTAACATTGGTTGGTGAAGTATTTTCACTGTTTTTTTTAAATTTATTTTGTCGATGATAAATTTTCGAAGTTGAAGACAATGGTGAAATATTTTCTGTTGTCATTCTTTTTATTTAAAAGAACATCTCAAAAATGAGATGAATGACTAGATCGAAATAAATAAAAGACTGATTGAAATGAATAGGTATTTTATGATTTGCTTTTCATTTACGATAAGTTAGTTAGTAAACGTTTGTTCATATTGGTGGAACGTTCGATTTGATAAAACATGAAAATTACTAAGATATAGAGGTCACCATTGGTCGTAAATTTTCATGCGAATTTCATTGTCAACAAAAAGAATCAAAATTGTGTTATAAAATGTAACACTTTTAAGACCTCTCCCATACAAAAAAATCGATTTTTCTAGAAAGAAAAAAAAAGACATTCTTCAAGGTAAACATATAGGCATTACATCTAAGATATCTAATTTGAAAATTCATAAGCATGCCTTTCAATTTTAAAAGTTTTCGATAGAGATCATGATGAGTTTTTACAGCTCTCCAGTGAAACGATTAATACCATATCGATAGGAAAATTAGGAGCGCTATTGCAATTATAACTCAACGTGTAGCTAGAAGGCTATTCAATAAGACTCTAGATGAATTTTTAATTGGAACGTAATTTAACCATATTTAATGCTCATATGAAAAAGTTCTTTAGGTAAATATACAAAAAAAATGTTCACACGTTTTTCTCGACATTGGTTTTTGTATAAACTTTTGAATTATGAACAAATTTCTTTTCAAAAGTGTTCGTTGTTGTGAACTGCGAATTTTTTTCATTCGATAAATATTAATATATTCTTTTTTCAAATGACGGAAAGGGCTATTGTATTCGACCACCAGTATCAAAGCAATGATGGACTTTATAGAAAACATTACCTACGATTTGTAAAGTTTTATCATTCTTACATGGAACACATGTTATTCATGCACCATTTTATCGTAATTTATGGATTACTACTGGAACAATATTTCTTGGCATACTTCCATATACAGTTATTTTTATGTTTCCAACAAATAAACTTATAATTGGAGATAACAAACGTGTTCAATCAGGAAGTGAAAGTCAAATTAATGTTAGTATAAGAAAAGGATTATTAGATAAATGGGCTATGCTTCATTTGGTTCGTACTGTTGGTTCAGTTATTAGTTTTGGTGCTATGTTATTTGGACTTAATCATCATAAATTGCTTCATTTAGGATAGTAGAAATTATAATTATTTTCCTTGTCCACAGCAAAGACATTTCATTCCTACTTTAGTCAGTCAATGGAAAACTTTCCTTACTTCTTTAGAAAATAAACAGAAATCTAATGATAGAATATATATACATGTTTTATATGTTTGTAATAAATTCTAAAAACTACAATAATAGGACATTTTCTTACAAATGATTGATCAATGTACACAAAAGCAAGAATCTCTTTTTTTTTTTGAATACAATATTGTAATTAGCACTATAATTCATCTAGACAGTCCATATTTGACTTAAACTTTATTATTAATTACTTATGACATACCAAAGTTAGTGGCAAAGGTACTTTATTTTCTTATACAAAGGTTTAAAGAAACTTTTTTCTCTCTTTAAAGTCTGATAGTAAAAACAAGATTTTACATTTCTCTAATATTTGATCATTCTTCAATTAATATTATACTAATCAACTTTCAATAAGAACTGTTTGTTATGATGTGTAACAGTGATATTAGATCGAAATTTGTTTTCGATGCTCATCTTCTTCTTTATATTCTTTTTTCTTCTCTATTCTAAATGCCTAGCTGTCTATACATATTAGGCGTTATTCCCTCTACTGAAGGGAGGGTCATACGCCGAATGAGTTAGCTACGTTTGTTCCTAACTGCGTGCGTGCGTTCGTTCGCTAATGTCTTCAATGATGAGGTGTGATATTAGAAAACAAATACACCAAAGATTTGATCAAAGATAATCGGGATTGGGGAATTCGAATCCGTGATTAGTTTTTTGAAGTTTTTCATTTTGAGTTTTTTAGGACAAAGAAGGGCCTTTTTATGAAAAAAATGATTTTTTTATAAAGTTTGGCCAATGGTTATCGAGTCGAGGAATTCGAATCTGTAATTGCATTTCACTTCATATGAACATTTTTAAACTGACGAAATATCTACTTTTGGAAATAAATGAAAGAAACTAAAAATTAGAAATAAAAAAACAGCTTTAGTCTAATTTTGATAAAATGTCGGCGCAATTTCTTTTACTAATG